CCTGGTTTTGTTTGGAGCTGCTGTCGTTTGTAGATCGGTGTGTCAGAGTTGGAACTTTGGCTTTCTGTGAGAACAGGGTGTCGGTTATAATACCACAATACTCTCATTACTAAGTGTTGATTAATAATACAGAACGTTCCCAGTTAAACACATTTCACAAAGTTTGTATAAAATATTTGACTTTAAGCTCAAAGTAAAAGCTTTTGTTTTTATTTTTTTACTCCTTTCAGTCGACCAAGAGGAACATCCCCATGCTGTTTGTGAGGGGGGACGGCGTCGTCCTCGTCGCTCCTCCTCTCAGGGTGGGTTAACCTGGACGATGCCCGCCGCGAAGAAGAGTTTGCGCCGGCTGGGAAGTTTCAGATCCGAAAGGAAGCGGGTTCTGCTTCTGTCCAAAACAAGGGGAGTTTGATCCCACAGACTTTTGCCCACATCATCCTCTTATTTTACACGAGTGAAATTTAACAAACTATTAACGTTCTTTTGCAAAACATGTTTTGAGTAAAGGGGAAAAAAAGGAGGAGGGGGTCTTTTGGAATGATCAGTGTTATTTCTGTTAATGTGGGCAAGTAGTTGTTAGATTGATTTTGGGATTATTGGGGAAATCAGGCCACAATTTGAGTTCTCTGAATATTTCAACACATATTCAGTTCAGCCGGTTATTAATCCATACAAGTTTAGTTGTTAGGCCTGAACATTAAAAATTAAGCTTGACTCAGCTTTAGAGGACTTGGATGAGTCGCTGTGAGCTGCTTCAGTTCTCCTCCAACCGTCTGATGTGACCAAATTAAAGCAACATTTACTTAACGGGGGGTTTTTTATGATTCTGGATTTTGAAATTTCTCGTGTAACTACGTTGGTTCCCAGGAAAAAGTCTCACAGTTACTCCAAACCCGTGATCTGTGAATGTTGAGTTTCTGTTGGATGGTTTTAGTTGCATCTTTTTATATGTATTTTTTTAGTTTTTTTTTTGTGGGATGTGGGAATACGTCAGATGTGTAAACGTTTGTTTTCATTTGGTAAAGTTGAATAATAAAAAAAAAAAGTAATTGGAGAAAGAAACTGTCTGAAGTCTGGTGTGATTTTTGTAACTGGTACCATGATTTATATTTATTTATGCGACCACTAAACTCTGGGTCCCTCATCGTGCTAATTTACTGTAAAATTCTTTGCATCGTTTTAGGAATTGATCGTTTACTGTAAACAAGCTGGACACAATAAACTCATTTGTTCTGCAATATGAATATTCTCCACTGAAAGTAGAAGTCAAATAGAGAGACGTTCACACAGCTGTTTTTACTGCATTTTATATGACAGGTGTGTTAATGGAGGGGCAACATTCTAATGTAGCATTAAGGGGACCTAATTTTAATTAATTTATGCCTACGTACTGTTGGGCAAGTTTGTAATAATAATGTGGAAAAATTTGGAATCGCTGCAGGAGCCCAAACCTCCTTATTTGTCAACTGGTTTAATATAAATAACAGACGAAGCGTATTTGTTGGGGATTTTTCACCGCTAAAGGGCCCTTTGTCAAAATCTTACACGCAGTCGTCCTCAAGTGTATTCATGCCTTCATCACATTGTTTTTAAATTGTGGTTTAACAGAAATATTTAAAAAAAGGGTATTTTGGTTTTGGCTTCACTGCTCATCAGCAAAGTGCTCTCATTTGTCTGGGACAGTTTTTTTATTTTTTATTTTTTTAAATTATTCTTTTCAACCACAATTTAAAAGCAATGTCATATTTCACTAAATTATAATTTAGCAAATTTTTATTTATTTTTACTTTTTTCAATTTCTAGTTATTTGAGTGACTGTTGTGAAGTTTGTCTTTTCTTTACATGATGCGTGCTGCAAAAACGGTCCTTAATCGAACTGTCTACACTCCTTCGTGTTCGAAGACAACAGCCTGAAACACATCTTAATTTATAATAATGCATCATATTCAACAATTTTCAAATTAAAATCCTAGTTTGCTCTTTAACTAATAGCTGCATCTTGGAGTAAAAAGTCACAAAAACAAGTCGTGTAAGTTAGAAGCACTTCAGAACCTTATTCAAGAAATGCAGTGAGTTGTTGTATTGTTGCAGTTCAGCCACTAGATGTCAGTACAGATCTTCTGCAGCGTCCCTTGAACAGGTGATGGTGAAGATCATCTCCATCCAAGAACCTGTCGGTGTCCCCACAGACCGACACTTCACTCCTGTGTAACTGAGGTCTTTAACTCGTCCTTAAATTTCTGAATAATTAGCTGCTTTCATCTTTATTATTACTGCTCCCAGCTTCAGAGAGATGGAGCGAATCTGATAAAAACTGCAAGTTTTCTGGAAAAAAAAAAAAAAAGGTGACTTGATGGTAAAATCAGTGAGTCATCCAACCTCTTCAGATGCTTCATGTGGTGATATCAGCAGAAATCAATACGCAGAATTGTGATTCACTAATGCTTCAGTGGCCTTGTGGGTGCAGAACTGGTTCAGATAGAAATGACACCGATGGAAGAACAGTGAGGGAGGTAAAGCTGGAGAAAAACATCAGGTAGATTGCTACTGGTCATATGTAGTTCTTGAAAAAAGCACTTTTTGGCAAGTATAACCCATATTTGGCCATGGTACTGTTGGTCAGTCCACTACTTTGGTACAGACTCAACAACTAATGGATGGATTTCTATCAACTATCGCACATTTCCAGTCAACAGATTGTTCACAAATCTGGTTTATGGCCAAATACATGTGAACTTAATGGCATTTCCATCAACCTCTGCTGGTCAGGGCCATTTCTCAAACCTTGTCTGACTGCGCCTCTTTCACGTCTGATTCACTTTTCCCACCAATTGTCCCCGAAATCAAAACTGAACTTTCATTTGGGGCCATAAACACAGCGTTTCGGTACAGCTTGTGCTTTTATCATTCTGTCAGTAGCGTGTTTAGATATCGTGTCCAGTACAGGATGGAGATGCTGCAGAACAACTGAGTAGCTTTTCACCGCCTCCCTCAGTCCTTGAACATTAAATACATCCAAGGTTTTTGTCCAAATCAGTGCCTTTTTGTGCTGCAACAATATTACAATAAAACCCTTTGTTTGTAGGTTTTATGTACTGTGGGCTTGGAACTGCTTCACCAGACAGTGCCTGGTCAGGATCTCCAGGGTCACCTCAGTACTAAACTGTTTAAATTGCAGCCTGCAGCATTAAAGCCTCTGTATGAGCTTCTGCTAGCTCTAATTCAGACACTACTAATGGATGCACTGTTTATGGCTTGCCTCGTATTTACAGACTTGCTGCAGTATTTTCAGCATCTATTTGCACATTTGTTTTTGCCATTTGGGATTCATTTGCACATTTGTTATTACCTGTATTGTGTTTTAGTGCCGTGCATACAGTCGTCCTCAAATGTATTCATACCTTCCATTAAAGAAAAGGCAAAATTCACAATAGTCACTCAAATAACTAGAAACTGAAAAAAGTAATAATAAATAAAAATTTGTTAAATTATAATTTAGTGAAATAAGATGTTGCTTTTGAATTGTGGTTGAAAAGAATAATTTAAAAAACAAAACAAAACTGTCCCGAACAAATTAGGTTGTTTAACAGAATATTAGTTTACGGGTCCCATCATGCCTGTTTGCTTGTTTGTTTGTTTGTTTGTTTGTTTTTTAAAAATATTTCTATTGAACCACAATTCAAAAGTAATGTGATTATTTTCAATAAATTTTTATTTATTATTACTTTGGTCAATTCCACCTTACTTCAGTGACTAATTTTTTTTTTTATTCCTTCTTTGATGAGAGGGTGTGAATACATCTGAGGACGACTGTCGTGGTAAACAGGCAGTACTACTGACATACAGTTTTTATTGCTTGCACCATGTGTACATCTTTATAGACTTGCTGCAGTATTTCAGGTATTTATTTGCACATTTCTGGTTGCATCTTGTCCTACATTTGCACACTTGCTGTTACTTGTATTGTGTTTTCGTGCCGTGCATAAACGTTACTATACATTTCTTGCAGGTTTTTTTTTCTTTTAATAATAATAGTGTATAAATGCACTTTTTAATGACGCATGAGACAAATTCTTGACTTGTGCAAACTTTGTCTAAGAAATTACCTGCAGCATGATATTGCAAGGGGCTGGAGTGGTGGTTAGCACCGTTGCCTCTCAGCTAGAAGGTCGCCGGTTTGCACCCCGATGAGGGCACCCGGGATCTTTTGCATGTTCTCCCCGTGCAGCATGGGTTCTCTCCGGGTTCTCCGGCTTCCTCCCACACAGTCCAGAAACATGTTGAGGTTAATTTGTGATTCTAAATTGTCCGTAGGTGTGAATGTGAGTGTGCTTGGTTGTCTGTCTCTAAGTGTAGCCCTGTGATAGACTGGTTACCTGTCCAGGTGAACCTGCCTTCACCCTGAGTCAGCTGGGATAGACTCCAGCCCCCCGCGACCCTAGTGAGGATTAAGTGGTGTATAGATAATGGATGGATGATATTGCAAAGAAAAAAAGATGTTTTTAGCTGAATTGTTCATGTCTTTACAGCAAAAACTGGACTTTTGTAGTTGCCAAACCTCTCGTGTCTAACAGGAACATAACCTGCCTGCATATTACCTTTATGGGACATTTTCATCTTTAATTGAAAGGAAAAGCAGCGTGACGACGTGTCTCCTTGCAGCAGGCAGATGCTGACTGGTAATAAGGCGTGGGAATAAATGGAAATGTTTATTAGCTCCTCCTGCGATTCCAGCGACTGTGTTTGTATTGAGCACTAATCATGTGGAGTTTTTTGTTTTTTTACCAGCTACATCACCATCACCGCCCCATTATCACCGCACAAATCTGTCTCCAAGGGCCAATTACAGGAGCCTAACAACAAAAGGACAAGACCGTAATGCACTTAAACGAGGAGCTCGGCATCTTTGTGCATCTATCAGCCAATCAGAGTGATTAAAGTAAAACACAGCTCTATGAAACAACGCAAATTATTTACAAATTTGATAAAGGATTTGCAGGCTTTTATGCAGAGCTTTTAATCCTTCCACAGTTGTTGTAATAATAATAATTTAATGCAGTAAATATGTCATACAAGAGTATAATCATTACAATCATCAGCAAATGATGCAGTGCAGCTTCCCAGTTCCCAAGAGTCTGTATCATAAAATGCCTTTTAAATGGGGAACTTGCAGTGTTTTACTTCTGCTCCTCTGAATGAGTCGTTTTTATTGGCGGGAAGTCAGAGGTTGAGGATGAACCGCTGAGCGAGAGGAAGCTCAAGGAGGTGCGCTCAAGAACTGGTCGCTGCAGGTCACAAAGTCTTTGCGATCCCCGTTGACGCTGAATGCATCGAGCAGAGTCGGGCTCGTCAGTAGCAGAAAGAGCATTTCGGCTTCACGTTAAGCTGCAGACAGAACACCTTGCACAGCACAAAAGGTCTGGATTTATTTTGGCTGCACTCCTGTCCACGCCTTTATACTGTTGACGAATTACAACAGGTGCAGGTATACGTCTTTCAGGATAAAGTTTATTGACTTTTTGCTCTGCCCCCTTTCTTGAGTGCATTTAGAACTGTTCAAAAAGACGTTAATGAACTGCAGTGCCCCCTTCTGGTCATTCAGTAGTGGTAGTCATAGGGCAGGAACCTCAAGGTCGATTCGTGCTTTTGATTCATGAAACAACAATGATGTAAATTTTGTTGTCCACCCAAATCCGTGAGGCTGTGTGAGGAGGCTTTTCCATCATCCACACCTTTAGAATTCATCATTAAACGAGTTGTAATTGAAGTAGCTGGACTTTGGAGGTGCTTTGCTTCCCATCGACGGCGCCCAAACACACTAGGAAGTCCTAAAAATTCTCCACAAACCCTGTGCAGCGCCCAAAACACCAAAACACCTCAGGAACACTCACATTTACAAGATGCCGCAGCCTGTTCTGTAAACTAGCTGTGATATCCCGTCATTAGAGCGAAGCCACAGCCTTTCAGAAACATCCAACGAGGAGTCATGTGTTTTCCTTTGAGTTTGAAAACGTGACTGTCTGGGTTGCAGAGAGACGAAGTTGTAGAGTGACTAGAACCAC